TCAGACTGGCCTCGAGCTCACTTTGTAGCCCACCCTGGCCTTGAACTTGCAACAATCCTCCTGCCTCAGCCTTTAACCACTTACCAGCCCAATTATTTAAATACAGGATGACCAAAAATTACATTTTTTCATTAATTTTTGTAGGACAATAGAAAAGGAAATATAAAAACGACAGTATTGCTAGGCATGGTGGGGCATGCCTGTAATCCCAGCACTCAGGAGGCTGAGGCAGGAGGATCATTGTGAGTTCAAGACCAGCCTGGGCTACAAAGTGAGCTCAAGGCCAGCCTGAACTGCATAGCGAGACCTGTCTCGAAAAAAAACACAAACAAAAAACATAAAAAACGACAGTATTATCAAATTTACTCAATACAAGAATGGACTGGTTGAAATGACACCTGCCCAGGCATGCTTCAGACAGTCAGTACCGAACAAACACACTGCCCAGGCAATGCTTAGGGTAAAGTGCTGAGTGGTTAGTACGCGCTGTCGGTGCCTGACTCGCAGGCTGCTGGGAATGCACCTGGCTTTCTTTGTGTCGGAGCTGCTATGGTCTGGATATGGTTTGCATGAACGTGTCCGGCCCCTGAGGTTTATGCACTGGAAATGTGGTCCCAGGGTGGTGACGCAGGGAGGTGGGTGGTGGAACCTAGAAGAATGGGGACCTAGAGCAAGGTACCTGGGTCACGGGGCACAATCTCTCGGAAGGGATTATGGTCATTCCCCCAGGACCCTGGCTAGTTCCTGGAGTGAACCTGGCCCCTGGGTCTCTAGCTTCCTGCCTTGCCATGTGACTGCTCTGTCCCTCTCCCAGGCACTCCCACTCTGATGCCACCTGTCATGCTGGGACATGGCCAGAAGCCCCTCGTCAGACCTGAGCACTTGCCAGCACTGTGCCTTTGGATCTCCAGAACTGTGCCCTAAATTAATTTTTCTTTTTTCTGTCATACTAGGGATTAAACCCAGGGCTTCATGCATACTAAGCAACTGCTACACCACTGAGCGACAACTTTATCTCTTTGACAGATAAGGACGGCACAGTAGAGCCAGGAATTGTACTGAAGGGTATACAGCTAGACAAAGGTGGGGCCAAAATTTGAATTCAGTCATTCTGCCCCCAGAGCACAGCTCTGCTACCCCAGTTAGGGCTGAGAGAGGAGCTATTTAGCCCTGAGGACTTCTTAGCCTGATGACTTCTTAGGACAGGCCAGGAACCAGAAGACTTGAGACAAAATTCCAATTCATTTTCTACTTTCGGGGATCTAATTCTGTCTGACAGAAATTACATCCAGGCTGGGTGTGGTGATACACACCTGTAATCCCCACACTTGGGAGGCTGAGGCAGGAGGGTCGCTGTGAGTTCGAGGCCAAGCTGGGTTACATAGTGAGTTCAAGGCCAACCTGAACTATATAGCGAGACCATGTCTCAAGAAAAAAAAAGTTAAAGACAACATATCCAGTTTCTTCAGATTTTCCTCAAAGGGATTGTTGCGGTGCTCTCAGAGATGTCAGTTTTCTTTATAAGTGAAGAATTATAAAGGGTCCAGGGGATCACTGATTTCATACAATGCCATAGAAATCTGCAAAGTCCCAGAGGTTTCCCAGAAAAATTGTGCATCTGTGAAAGAATTGTGAATTCCCCAAAGCCTTTCCAGAGAGATCACATCTTTCAGAATGTTACCTACTCCACCAGGGCCCCCACGTCAGAGAAATCAGAGGCTTGCCCAGCCCAACCCTCCAGGGAGCCGGGGCCCAAGGTCATGGACTCAAGCCCACCTTTTTCTTAGGTTGACTCCTGGGCCAGGGAAGCCAAGCCTGCCCAGGCCCTTCCTGAGACTTTGTCACATTTCTTAAGGGTCCAGCCTTTGCCTTCTCCCTGCCACCCACAGGGTCTGTTATGGCTTGTGTCTAGATGTCCCCCAGAGCCTCATATGCTCGTAGGTGGGGCTTTTCTGAGGTGGCTGGACCCAGGGTGTGTGACGCAGGGATTATGGGTGTGTGACAACTAAACTGGGTTAGCATACTTCTGGGTGTGGGTAATGGGAGGCCCACGCTGGGCCCAACAGGCTTGCAGCCTGGATGGGACAGAGAAAGGGAAGCTCAGTGCTGCCACTGCCGGCTGCCTTCTTGCCCGCCCTGCGTGGGCTGTTTCTTCCCTGTGAGCCCCTCTGCTTTGGAGCCAGCCGATTACGGACTGAAACTTCTACAAACTGTGAGCTGCAATAAACGTCTGCTCCTTTAATGGATGTCAGGTATTTTGCCCCAGCAATGAAAAAGTAACTAAAACAGGTCCATTCTTGGGCACTTGTGTGTCACCGTGTGAGACAGCTAAGGGCGCCATGGGTCCTACCCTGCCTTCTAGAAGAATCTACTGAGGCCGGCAGAGGAAGTACCGAGTCCAAGCTCCTTCAGCCATCCTCAGCAGCCCCTGTTCACCACTTCCTGCAGGAAGCCCTGGGTCAAGCCCTCCGTGAAGCCCCCACGTCCCCAGGGGGCACTCTCTCCTCCCTAGGACGTGACCATCAAGGGGCCTGTCTGCCTCACCCACAGGTTGGCCTCTCTACCATCTCAGCTCTCCGTGCTACCCCAGGGCTGGGTGTGTGACAGGTCCCCCTGCCAAGCAACAGAGCGCCGGGGGAACCGGAGTGACGAGAGGGCAAGTTCCAGGGAAGGTGGAGGCCGGACAGCCGCGTTCCTGGACAGAAGCAGGGATGAGTCTCTGCGCGGACCAGTGAGTGCTCTTCAGGGCCACAGCACAGCCCAGGGGTGGCCAGCAGCGGATCAGGACCTTTGTCGTCCCTAACCCCGGGGGAGTGGCTCCAGCGTCCATCCCCAGCTGAAACCCAGGGGCTTCTCCGGGTGCGCGGGCAGGCCCCGCCTATGTCCCCAAGCTCAGTGAGGGCTATGTTTCTGGAGGTGGGGACTTGGAGGTTGCGGGCAGTCTTTGGAATCAGCCAGGGTCCCTTGGGCAAGGGTCATACGTCCTTGGAACAGGGCTGTTGGGAGGACTAGAGGAGACAAAGAGGGTCCAGGTGCCCAGCAAGGAGGAGCTGCCCTTACCCTGTCCACAGGATGAAGTCTGGCTCCGGCTCGATCTCCTTCATGGCGTAGATGGAAGCGTTGATGAGGGCCCAGGGCGAGTCACAGAGGTAGTCGCCCCAGGGGCCCGCGTTGTGCACCAGCTGGGAGCCCGCTGAGGGGCACACTTCGCGGGGGTCTTGGGATACCGTGTAGTTGGGGTCAAGGTGCAGGTCAGAGATGTGCCAGAACCTCCCTGCGCGGGGAGAGAGACCTCCTTCAGCGCTGGCTGCCCCGAGCCTGGGGGAGGGGCCCGTGGGGGGAGGGGCGTTGCACAGGTGACTCGAGCCCTCCTCTGTGTGCCCAGGTTCAGGGAAGAGAGCCCACAGCCTAGCTCTGCTCAGAAAGGCCCTGAGCAGAGCAGAGGACAGCTTTGCATCCGCATCCGCAGCAGCAGGAAGGATCGGCCGCATGATCCTCCAGGCAGTCTGAGCAGGGCGCAGGCTTTCAAGCAAAGTGACATGGTGTAGCGGTTCAGTGCTCAAGCTCTGGGGCCACATAGGAGCCGCGTGACCTTGGTTAGGCTAAGTCACTCCCTGTTTCCATCGCTAGAGCCAGATCCTGTCACGCATCAGTGAAATGCATGCAAAAATCTGACCTGAGCTGGGCATGGTGGTGCACAGCTGTAATCCCAGCACTTAGGAGGCTGAGGCAGGAGGACTGCCACAAGTTAGAGGCCAGCCTAGACTACAAAGTGAGTTCAAGGCCAGCCTGAGCTGCACAGTGAGACCGTGTCTCAAAAAGACAAAAAAAAAAAAAAAAAAAAAAAAAAAGTTTATTTTTAAATTTTTTAAGTTTTTTTATTTTTTGGTATCAGGAATCGAACTCAGGACCTTGTGCTTGCCAGATAGGCGCTTAAAAAAAAATTGATCTGAAAGGAGAAAGCAAATACCCTAAATGAGTTGGAAGACG